TCTTTGTCTCAGGACACCCCTTTGTGAAGCCTGAAGTAAACAGTTTTCAAATGCAAACGAATGGGCATCACCTGTGGCTCTTTGCTTAATTGCTTTGCAAAGAGATGTGTCTGAATCAGGCTCTTGGCCCTGTGTGAGGCTGTGGCTTAGATTGACAGCACCTGATGGATCTCAAGAAAGATCCTATATGTGCATCCAAAGCCAATATGGCAAAAAAGCAGTCATTGTGGATGAAGTCTATCGCCTTCCTCTGTAAGGTTCCTGACCTCCATCAAGTGAGAATAGGGATCCCTTGGGTCAAATGAGTTTTTAAAAGCCCTGCAGAGGCTAGCCATTATGTGCTGAGGTTTTTTCATGACTCCAATTCACACAAAGAATCTATACCCCACCATCAGCAGGCCTCAAAGTGGAGAAGATGAGCAGAATTTAAGGAAGGCCTATTTGATCACTCCTGGTTCAAGGGAAGGATGTCCAGGCCACCCTGACATTAGGCAAATGAGGGGCAAGAGAGCTTATTGTGGACACTGTCTTAGGCTGCGCCCATCATGGAAACTTCCAGCCAGAGGTCATGAGGATTGTTTATATGGAAGAAGATGAGGGCCTTGTGGCAGTGTTTTGGTTTGAATTGTGGTCATTTGTGTGGCCATGGAAGAGATGACTGGGTCCACTGGACTTGAATTCTGGTGTGATTCCCCTTGGATACTGAGTTCTGGAACTGAACTCAGAAAAGTATTGCCATGATTTGGGTTGTGATTTTCAGAGGCCACGCATGAGAGTCCCCTTGGGAAACTGAGATCGAAGCCCAGGGTGACTTTCCAGAGAACACTGGGAATCTCAGCCAGGATATCACATGATTGTATACTTCAAGACCTGGTAGCCATAGTTGAGAGTCAAAACACACATGGACCTCAAATTGTTGACCTCAGTGGGCCTGGTTTCATGTGACGTTTTGGCCACTCTTTGGGAAGCCTTGTTTTTGAGAGTTCTCCAGAGCTTTCATTGAAATGATCTTCCTCACCTTTTAATGGTTCCTGAATGAATGGAAACCCAGAGTGCCTCCAACATCATCATTTAAAAATGGCTAGGTAAATACCCTGCAATCTTTGAATATCCATGACAAGGTGGCACTGGAGAACCTTTGGATGTCCTGTTGCTGATCATGAGTGTACCAGACAGGCGCCTTGATTGACTGGGTTGCATTAAAATGATGTAGAACAGAGATGCCAGTAAGGTGGGGCCTGCTGAGTAGTGGGCCTAGAGCAGTGGTGTGACGGTGTGTGATAAAACATCTGTGATGGGGCCATGTGGATCTGCCATGGGCTTCAAAATGGCTTGTGACTGACATGGTGCATCCAGCAGACCCTTATATGTAAAGGCATCTTGTTATATGGAGAGGTTTCAGGGCAATGTTCAGAATCATGTTGCTATGCTCAAGGGGCCAAGCTCTGTGGGATAGAAGCATGGTTGGTGCATTCTCCTAGGATCCTGACCCACCACACGTGACAGAACTCCCTCCAGCACTGTGTCCCAGTTGAACTCCTTGTATTTCGTGAATGAAATACCAAACTCCCAGTGCAGCAGAAAGAAACACCACGAAAAGTGGAGGATGACCAAATGGCTTTACAGTCCCCACGGGAGACACTTAGCCCCCAGTGGCCACAGTTTATGTACAAAGAGAAAATTTAGCACTTCTGCCTCATGTTCATTGGAAAATCAGAAACCATGTCCACCAGGTCACTTAGATGCAGATCCAGCTTTTATGGTCTCACTACAAAGGAAGCTAAAGCTCCTGACAACAACATATATTTCTAGAGCCCAACCTCAGAGGCAGTTTCTCAAGAAGTCTTTAGGCCAGTAGAGCTCCATGTTTGTGAAGTGTTTATCCTGTCCCTTACTTATG